CAACATGACACGAGGACCAGTGGGCCGGGATGGGGCTGGCGTGCTCAGCTCAGTGAGGCGCCTGACCCTGCCGGGCTTGGGGTCTGGAAGGCTCCCTGGGGTGAGTGGTGTCTGGGAGCCAAGGACAAACAGGGGCTGACCTGGAAGCAGCTTGGGGTGGGGTGGAGGGGGAGTCATGAGGGAGGAGGGGGAGAGGCAGAGCAAGGCCCTTCCACAGTTAGACCCGCCTGGCGGCACAGCCAGAGCCAAGTCCTGGGGTCCGGCCCCAGGAAGAGCAGGATCAGGCCTGCCTCCCCCTCTCAGTGTCTGCCTATCACAGAGGACAACGTTTACTACTGGAGATTCCCACAGAGAAGCAGAGAGATTCATCCAAGAGCGCCGTGGGCTCCCCACCCTGCTCCAACACGCCAGCAATGCCTGCGGGCCCCTCCCTCGCCCAGTTACTTTAAAGCCAATGCCCTAATTTTGCCAGGTTCTTCCCGTAAGTATTTCAGTATTTAGGTCTAAAAGATGAGGCTCCTTTAAAGAGCATGTGCACAATACCGTGATCAAGTACCCTTCGTGCAGAGGGACCTCCAGGCCCCCAGGTGACTGGGCAGGAGGGGCTGGGGGCTCTCTGTCCCCTGATTGACCTTGCGGCTCCTCCACCCAGTAAACTGAGATGGGAGGTCGTGTGTTTGTTACCTGCCCAGGTGGGTGCAGAGTGCTTTCGCCCCAGCCCCACGAGATGGGTGCTCCCACCCTGGTCCCTGGACGAGGGGACCAGGCCGGTCAGCTAACTGTGGGCCACTCAGTAACCAGCCCGTGAGAGCCGCTGGGTGTCAGACCAGGCGACTCTGCTATGGCTACTCGCGGAGCCACGTTCTCCACTTGCTCCCACCCCCAGACCGCACAGGGGACTCTGCCTTGGCAAGCAGGTGTGGGTGGACCGCAGCCCTTCCCCAGGGGTCCCCCGCCTCCGGGGGCCTCCCCAGCAGGGCGTCCCTGTGTCCCCGACCCGGCTCCGCCATGGAGACCAGTGTGCACAGGCTGAGGAACGGTCTGTTTGCAGGAATCCAGGTGCACCGCAGTCTGGGCCTACGTAGCCTGCCTGGGACTAGGAGGGTCTCACGTTTGTCCTCAGCCTCTAGAGCACCTTCCCGAGCCCAGAGGCTGCCGGACACAGGCCGTCGAGGGCTCAGAGCCGGGGACTCCCGGCAAGCCCCGCACTGGCTCGTGTCCCCTCAGCGCGCCTCACCCACGGGCTGGTGGGCGCCTGACCCCGGCCCCCTCTCCCA